CGCCTTCCCTCCACAGCGACCGCCGTGACCGGCATGACGAGTTTTTCGTGGTAGGCGCAGTCACCCTGCAGCCCGACGCCTGCGGGGCGGATCGCGCAGCGGGTTTGGGACGGCTCCGCTTTTGTGCGCGATGATCGCCGCGCACCCACGGCGTCGATCTGGCGGCCGATGCCGCGTACGGCGGTGCCGACCGCGTGCCAGAAGGACTGCGGCCCGGGTGGTCGCGCAGCCCACGCGAGGTTCTGGCGTGCGTACGCTGGAATGCTCATGCCGGCGAGCGCTGCGCCGAGCTTGCGCGACCAAATTCTTTTCTTCCACAAAAAAGAATTCGCGCTTCTGGTGCAACAAAACTGCGGGCGTGCAAGGCGGCTAGGGATGAAGCAGCAAAGGAGGCGCGCGAGGCAAGAAGGAGAAACGGAGAACGGAGAGATTGGACACAGTGTGAGTGAGTGAGTATTCTTGATACGAATCCAACAAAACTCTCTCGAATCCACGACGACACACACCAGTCGACTCGCATCGGTCGCCTCCACAAACGGCGGAGCAGCTAGTCTCGCGTCCACACCGCCCCTGGCTCCAACGTGGACACGCCCATGCTCGACGCGGTGCGACGGCGACGGCGCTGATGTTGCAAATTCTAAAAAGGTTCCACCAGGGTTTGCGCGTGGCGGCGGCGGCTGGCGCCTTGGTTTGGGCGGCTGTGACTGGCGCCTCGGCCTCCGTTTGGGCAGAGGCCTCAGCTGGTTGGTTGGCCTTGTGGGCGGCGGCCTCGGCTGTCGCCTCGGCTCCAAGGGCAGCACTGGCAAGTGCAACGCGCGCCTCATGTCGGAGAGCGACCGTGCCTCGTTCGCCGCTTATGATGTAGAGTTTGTTGCAGAGATTTCACGTTGTAGAGCGCCTCTACATCGCTCTACATCGGACTCACATCGTCCCGCGGCGGATGTAGAGCTCTACAGCTCTACAGCGCTCCAGAGCGCTCTACATCTCTACATCTCTACAGCGCTCTACACTCTTCATCCTCTACACCCTCCCTCAGGGGTTAGGGTTAGGGTTAGTTAGGGCTAGTCTTGTTGTGTCTGTATATGCCAGCGTTGCACAGGGTTCTGCACAAGCTGTGATTTTCGTGCCAAACCAGCCGATCTTGGCCCGTCGTTCTCCGCTCGCGCCGGCCGCCCATGCGCTCGCGGGGCTGGCCGACGGCGCGGGCCTCTTGCCGATGGACCCAGCCGAGGTGCCCGACCAGTCGGAGTGGCGCTGACGCGCCGCGCGCGACCACCAGCCAGCTTTCCGGCCGGGCCGAGAACGGTGCCTCGAGAATGTAGACACTCTCCGGTCCATCCGGAATTTTGTCGTTCTAGTTAGCACTGCTGCTGCAGACAGGGCCCGCGCGACCCCTTGCCCTTCCCGGATCCAGCTCGCTGAGGCTTGGCGCCACCCCGATGACCGCCCACAGGTGGCTGATCGCGGCCGCCACTCACGTCGTCGGCGCCTGGCTCTCAGAGGGCCCCTGCGGCTCTCGCTCGTCGCGTGACCGCCGCCGCCGACAGCATCTGCTCGGTCGTGCCCGCCGGCGCGGAGCTGCGCGACGTCGAATTGTTCGGCGGCTCGACCGCCGGCGCGCCCACTCTCGCCTCCTGCGCGCCTCACACATAGTATTCACCTCGCGCGCGGCCGACAAAGTGCGCGCACGACCACGGGCACCTCCCTCTCAGTCACCCCCCCGACGATGCACAGCCCGTTCGTTCTCGCCGAGAAGACGCTCGGAGCGCCCAACTTTGCCTCGTGCGGCCATCAAACAGGCGCGTTGCCTCCCATCTCCGCACTTCCCATCTACCCCCACACTGCCACTGCCGGGGACGCGCAGATGCGACTCCCGGGCCCGCTCACCTCACCCGAGCCCGCCGACCAGGCACGGCCCGACGAGAACCCGCCGGGAAGGAGCTGGCCGAGCCATCGCCGGCGTCCCTGCCGGCCGGCTCATGAGCCCGCAAGAGATGCCGCACCCCTCTCGTACCTATACTCAACCAATGAGAAGGTGAAGAGATCTTGTCGGCCAGGCGGGCAGGGCAGGCGGCCGGCGGGGGCGGGGTCAGGGAAGACACAAAGGATATCCACCTCGAGAACCTCGAGAACAAATTAAAAAAAGAATTTCGCCGACCGGTTGCCATATGCCGACTTTCGGACTCTGCTTTCTCTCTGGCGCCGTTGCGGCCAGCCTGAGAACAACCGCCGGTGTTCGACACGCGCCACCAAGCGTGCACACGCTGAGTCGCCAGCAGGTCTGCAGCGGGGCCCTCGCGGCGCTGGCGTTGCTGCCGTCGCATGGCTTGGCTGCGGAAGAGCCTGGAAATGCGGCGTTGGTGACGGACCGTGTGGCGCTCGTCTTCACGGAGCAGCTCTCCGCCGAGGAGCGGCGCGAGTACGCGATGACTCTCGGCCTCTACGGCGGCAAGGCCCCACGCGCAGTGGAGCGCTTCAAGGCACTCGCCACAGGCACGTTGAGCGCGCCGTGCGAGGACCAGATGGAGGCGTCCGAGGCGGAGGCGCTGGCGCGCAGCGCGCTGACGAAGCGCTCCGTCTACCGGCAGTGCCTCGCCGCCGAGGCGGAGCCAGTCTCGTACGGTGGTTGCGCCAGCGCCGTGCTGTTGCGGCGAGTGAGCTCCGGTGCGGCCAGACTCGACTCTGACCCTTGGCCCTGCAGGCGGCTCGCTCGTCTGGCGCATCACCGGCCGCCGTATCGACGCAGGGCAGGCGCGCGGGGCCGAGCCTGCCCGAGACTAGCCGAAGGCCACGCCGAGACCGCACTCATTCCTCTCGCGCCGCTCTCCACCTCACCTCCGCCCTCTGCCGCCCTCCGCACCGCCCTCCCATCGCCACCGCCCTCCACACCACCGTCGCCGCCGCCGCCCCCCGCACCGCCCTCGCCGCCGCCGCCGCCCTCCGCGCCGCCCTCGCCGCCGCCCTCCGCACCGCCCGGCCCTCCGCTCCCCTCCACCGCCCCCACCGTCACCCATCTGATGCAGACGGCGCCAGGCCAGACCCCTCTGGCCGCCCTCTCGCACGCACCTGGGTTCGAGGAGTCAGGGGGGTAGGGTAGGGGGGCCCCATACACCCCCTACCCCCCCTACCCCTCCATACACCCCCCACGTGGTAGCTGACCCCGCTACCCCCTACCCCCCTACCCCTACCCCCCTACCCCTACCCCCCTACCCCAACCCCCACCCTGGACCCCCACCCTACCCCCCAATCGTCTCGAACCCAGGTGCGCGGCAGGTATGCGGGCAGGGTCCCGCCGCCCATCCCTCCCTCCGAGGGGGAGGGCCTCTCGCATGACGCCGCCGGACTCGTCTCTGTGCGACGGAGCGGCGCGAGGCTAGCCGAGATGCGCAGAGATGCGCAGAGATGCGCAGAGATGCGCGGAGATGCTCCGAGATGTGCAGAGATGCGCCGAGATGCGCCGAGATGCGCCGAGATGCGCCGAGATGCGCCGAGATGCGCCGAGATGCGCCGAGATGCGCAGAGATGCGCCGAGATGCGCAGAGATGCGCCGAGATGCGCCGAGATGCGCCGAGATGCGCCGAGATGCGCGGAGATAAGCGGAGATGTGCCGAGATGCGCCGAGATGTGCCGAGATGCGCCGAGATGCGCGGAGATAAGCGGAGATGTGCCGAGATGCGCCGAGATGTGCCGAGATGCGCCGAGATGCGCCGAGATGCGCGGAGATGCGCGGAGATGCGCGGAGACGCGTCGAGGTTGGGCCTTGTCGCTGTCTGCTGCCCCGCCGCCCCTCGCCCAGCCTCTCCGTTCCCTCGCTTGCAACCCGCCCACGGCCGCTGCTGCCCCGCCCCTCTCCACGCCTTCTGCCGCGGACATCCACGCCTTCTGCCGCGGACAGGCTCGTGCCCTCGGAAACAAAGGGTAGCATGCTGACACGGCTTTGGAGAAGAAAAATAGGCTCCTTTGACTTTGGACTGACGACCGCGGCGGACGCGACCGCCGATGACGAGTGCGACACTTCCTAGACACTTCCTAGACACCTCCTAGACACTTCCTAGACACTTCCTAGACACTTCCTAGACACTTCCTAGACACCTCCTAGACACCTCCTAGACACCTCCTAGACACTTCCTAGACACTTCCTAGACACTTCCTAGACACTTCCTAGACACTTCCTAGACACTTCCTAGACACTTCCTAGACACTTCCTAGACACTTCCTAGACACTTCCTAGACACCTCCTAGACACCTCCTAGACACCTCCTAGACACCTCCTAGACACTTCCTAGACACTTCCTAGACACTTCCTAGACACTTCCTAGGAAGCGCCGATGCCGAGTGCGACGCCACGGCGAGACGAGACTAGTCGTCCAGGGCACGTCCACGACGCGGCCTTGCCCCCCCCCCCCCCTGCCCTGTAGGTATGTCGTCATCGGCAGGGTCGTCGAGGGGGGAGACGCGCTGGCGGCGATCGCGGCGCTGCCGGTGGTGGCGGTGCCGGGGCAGGGCGAGGGGATGGCGGCGTCGCGGGAGAGGGCGTGCGCCTACGGCGGCGCCGACGCGTTCTGCGCGCAGGGCAAGCCGCTGCGCAAGCTGCAGCTCGCCCGCGCAAAGCTCCTGTGACAGCAGACACCAGAGCGTCCGGCCCACGCTCGTCCGTGCCGGTCCTGCTAGAGCCGTAAAGCCGTGTAGCTGGGTGTTGACTGTGTCACACACAAACATGAGGGGGTTGCTGATGACCCCGTACAATAGTCAATATATGTCTCATCACTCCACCCCATGTGCATGCACATCGTGCTTTAGACTCGTGTATGCAGCTAATGCTTGCCGCTTCCCAATCCCATGTGTGCGTGAACCTACCCTGTAATTATACATTATACGTTATACGGCGGACACGTTGGACGTTGCGGTGGATACACTGACTGTACTAGAGGGTGTGGAGGGTGGGTTGAACGAAATCCGGGGACGCGACCCACTTCGCCACAGACGGTCCCGCGCCTCGCCGCCAAGACGGCTACACGACCGCGGCTCGTGTGCGTGTAGCCGTCTTTGTCCGGAGTGAATACTCCAACGCGCTCGTCGGTGACGGTGTCCCCGGATTTCGCCGCACTCGGCGAACCTCGACAGCGCCGCTTCGGTGGCATGCATCAAGCTGCTGTACGGCCCCAGAATCGCCTTCCCAGGCTTAGCTAGACTGAGAGATATTGTGGACATGGTTGGTCTCTACAATATATACATTGACACTGAACCTCCCAGAGCTCGTCCCGGTCCGTCACGGCCATCCTCACCTTGTGATTTTTGGGTCAAAATCGTCCCGATTTCATAATGTTCGTTCGTACGTGCATCCGCGGCGCCCAGCGCGGTGCCAGCGGCTCCCATACCTCTAAGAGGCCACCCACCTCCGTATAGACCGCCTTATATCCGCGGTTTACGCCCAATAGAGGCAGCTGCAAGAGGGCCCGGACGGGCACTGCGGCACACACTGCTCACTGCTCGGCCATGCGGTAGCGTCTGGTGATGCCGCCCCTGCGCGGGCGGGGGCGTCTCGCTCGGCAGCAACTGCGCCGCGCAGCGCAGGTTCGAGGGTCGCGGTGGGTGGGTACACTGGAAGACGTAGCGGTCGAGAAAGCGCTCAGCGACCGCTACGTCTCGAGGATGGAGCCGTCGCGCGGACCCGACCGGCCGACCGGCAGTAGCAGCAGGCGCCGGAGGGCGCGGGAGGCAGCGGCGACACCTCGGGCCAGAAGCGCGAGCCCTAGGCTGGTGAGGGGGCCCGCTCATGCGTAAACGGCTCTGGGACTTAGCTAAATCGCGCATCGAAATCGCGACGATTTTGCCAGGGCACCGTCACAAGGTGCGGCCTCCGGAGGGCCCCCAGCCGCGCCCGCGGCGCGGTGCGGCGGAGTCACAAATCCGACGGCAGAGCACCGGGACGCGGTCGGGCGATCTAAGGCCCAGTGAGGCGTATGCATTGCCCATCCAGGACTATCACCTGGACCTATCAACAGGGGCTGGAGCCGAGCAGGAGGGCCCAGCGCACAACCCCTTGTTCAACTCACCCTCCACACCCCGTACTCGGTCGGAGAACTGAAACGTACACCGCCCTCGGTAACAGAGTCCGGAGCCGGCCCCACGCAGCCACTAAAGCCGTACTGACGTACGCACTAGAACGGGTTGCCAAACGGGTTGGCGTCCTCCGCGGAGGACCAGCTAGTTGGCGGCGGCTGCGACGCTCCCTGCGCCACCGGTGCGCCGACTTGTTGCCCTCGCACCTGATCCAGTTCCGGTGGCGCCGGCGGCTCGACGGCCGCGTCAGTGCGGAACTCGTTGGCGGCTGGGAGCGTGCCCGCCGTAGATCCCAACGTGCCCCCGGCGGAGCCCCAAGTGCCCATCGCCTTGCGCCGCACGTCCATCCGAGCGCGGAGGGCCTGCATCAGATACTAGTCATCAGGTCGGGTGACCTCGGGTGACCTCGGGTGACCTCGCGTGATCTCGGGTGGACCTCTCGTGATCTCGGGTGGATCTCGCGTGATCTCGGGCCATCTCGGGCCATTCTCCAAATTCACACATCGCCTGCATCAGATCGCCGCCGCCGCCGCCCGGCGCGGCCTCGCTGCCGCGCGGCGCCTTGCTGTCGGCGGCGGCGGGCTGGCCCACCTTCTTCAGGGGCTTGCCCTGTTGGATCGCCATCAGCAGCGCGTTGCGCGAGTCGCCGCCACCTGGCCGCGGCGCCCCAATCGGCGGCGGCGGCGGCGCAAGCGGCGGCGGCGGCGGCGGCGGCGGCGGCGGCGGAGGCGGAGGAGGAGGAGGAGGAAGAGCGGCACCGGGCGGCACCGCCGGCGGCTGGACGGGCGGGTAGAGCTCGCTCGCAAGGGCGTGCTCTCTGCGGTCCAGCTCCTCGAGGAGCTCGCCGTCGCAGGAGTGCGGCTGCGCCTTGCAAGGCCCAGTGCGCGTGTGTGACCGTGTGTGTGCGTGCCTGTGTGTGTGTGCGCGGGTCCGCGTCCGTCTGCGTTTCTGTG